GGGACACCAGAAATGGGCTTCACACATTGTACCCATGTCGGGATTTGAACCCGGGTCTTCGGCGTGACGAGCGAACGCTTTAACCACTAGGCTACCCGACCGCCCCGTTAAGTTTCAGTCTTGGTAGGGGTGCTTATAACGATTACGCTTATAAACTGTAGTTACCTACAGAGTGGTCGAGAAGTTGTTCAGGCGGGGTTTATAGGAGCAGAGGGGTTGTACAGCGAATACAGACACACAATAACAACTACAGGTACCGGTACAGTAATTGACATGGGTGCTCCCCTACACAAGTAATGAACTGAAACAGTAGGGATTAAACAGTGGACCAACTTCGCACTCGCCTAGAAGTTGATCGTTGCTTTGTCTTGTTTGTACACAAATATAAAAAACTATGAATAAACAGGAATGAACTATGAAATAAACTGCTCCCATCTTTGATCAAGTTGTCCTTCATAATAGGTGAGTCCATTTACGAAACTTACACAACCGACATTGGATCAGCTTTGGCATGTAGTGCAAATAGCAGGACCCCTCTTGAGTATACAGACCATTATCAAAGGGTTGTCACCGTGGTCACACTACAAGTCTCAATATGATATGTATCAGGATATGTTCTTGACGATATGATATGTATGGCAATACTGTCTTAATGATATGATATGAACCACAATGCGTGTTCGCGTGTTTGATGGTGATCCACAACGTAAGCTGGTGACATATTTTCACGTATAGTTATAACGTAAGGACAATGCAACATAACCTTAGAAATCTGTCATCCATGAATAAGTCAAACTGTTTCAGTCTGTTACCTATCTGACATGCAGGTTATCAAAATATATGTACTTACAGATTGAGAATGAATCGCGTCTTCCAGTATTCGAAAAAAAGAATGAAAGTCAAAGGGGCCTTTTCTTAACCCCAATGTAAAAATGAGAGTTTTAGGGGATCACTAGATTACAGCAAAAAAACTCTAGGACCCCTTAATTTCAAACTCTTGTATCATAATGTTGATTTCACATACACAATATAGTGGTATATCAGTCAATGAAATCAGTTTTACACGTAGAAAGCTTATTGTTTTAACCAAATAACTTGTGTTAATGTTTATATCTGTACACAATGGAGCCAAGGATTCACTTTCACTCCTAATCTGGACAAGCAAAGTGAAAAAATGAAACACAATGCACAGTACGATTTAACAAAATGGGGATGTTGAGATCGGGATGCGTAGTATCCATGTCAGCGAGGACGAACAGCGCTAACACATACCTCATAGCTGCTTATTATCTTCATGGTGAAATAATATTCACAGAGTTCTAAGATTCATCCAAAGTATTCTACTTGCTGGCACACAACTTCCAAAGGGCAAAACCTAAACATCTTTAATAGCACCCTGAGGTAAGCTTGAAAAAACACTTAAAGGGCAAGTTCACACGGAAATTAACCTATTTTTCTTGTACTTTTTCCACATTAAAAGTGTTAACCTAGAAGTGTCATAGACAAAAATATAAAAATATCACAATTAATTAACATATTTTTCGCATTAAAACGATTTATATTTTTCACATTTACCAAGTGTTCTATTTCCACAACAAAAACACCATGGCTTATGCCCCTTGCAATATGACGACATTGGTGCCAATTGATAAACATTATGACGTCATCATGCTTTGTTAGAGCCGCTTCACGTGGTGTAGGTCTAGGTGTGTGATTCTAGCGTCTCAGATGCCAGCCAGCATAGTGTTATGCTGAGTCACCACTGCGCCGGAGTGTGTCGTAGGCCATGTTGTTTAACCGCAAACTGGTACTTGATATCTTTTGCGTTGAGAATAGACAGGGACCCAGTTGAATTGGCACCAATTACGTCATAATCTAAGGGGGATAACTCAGGCCTGTTTAGCTCGAAAAACGAAGGCCTCATAACGGCATATCATTTTCACACTATTGTGAGCTTCCTACTTTCACTGTGAAAAAAATGAGTGTATATTTTCAAACACAGATACTAACTAATTCTAAAATTCCGTTTTCTTTAAAATAAGAAAGAAAGTGATTTTTGCGTGTACACTTCCCCTTTAAATAATCCTCATGTGATGAACATGATGATGGGCATCACATTTTATAGGGCCCTGGATTCAGGCAGGCCTAGTGCTATGTATATGCTGCCTACACTAGTCTGCACTCAGGTGGTATCAGCAGATTACAGCAGTGTGGTCACACAAGAGGGGATCATTGACATGGAACAGATTTAACATTGCACTATTTGGTTGATGTATAAATAACATAAACTTCTTAACTCTCCATAGGGACATCTTCCCGAGGTAAGGGCATTAACAGACTATAAAAGTCCAGTTTCCCCCCTTGCTGAACTAGGCTGGATTTTACAGGCTCGATCGTAGTGCCACCAGTGGCTTTTACAAGTTATGTCCCTTCTATGGCCCTCCTATTGACCAATCAGAATCCGCCTCTCATAGCACTTGCATTTGTTTCAAACAAAATGGCGGCACCAAGTCAAGATGATCTGATCGACAATCAAGATGTATATTGTAACAAAACGGGTTTTACCTTGAAAAGTGCATCACCAGGTGAGCACCTTGATTAAAAACATGAAAAGATTTGCAAAATATTTGTCGACACCCATTTGGTAGTACACATGCTTAGCAAATCATGCAGTCAAATGAAATCTGCACGTTGAAATCCATGTTGTTTACGAACCCAGATGTCTAGTTTGGTACGCCATTTTGATTGGACTATGCATAGACATTTTTAGCTAGGGTGGGAACTGGACCTATAGTCAATTAACGCCCTTGTCTTGGGATTGATTGAGTCAACAGTATTCCAGTAATATCACGGCGTTTGAGCTTAATGTGGGAGGAAAGCCCAAAGTGATGCAGGTCTTAGACGTTTATCACTTCAGTGAAACCTATGAGCACGGGTATGGTGCTGACAAACCTAGAAACATAATCGGGGCGAACCGAGATTTGAACAAAATGTGTCCCTTTCTAATGTCGTGTAGTATATGTACATATATATATATATATATATATATATATATATATATATGCGTACTTACATAACAAAATAAACTCAGATGATCATGATGAAAGACATAATGATAATCATGATAACTGAGTGTTGACATTGACACAATAATGGAATGCTGTTCCTCTGCATAAAATATTGTCACAAGGCACAAAAATATACTGTCAAAAATAAAGTAATAAACAATAATAAACAATTGAAAAATATATTGTGAGATACATATTTCCATATAAGTCATATAAACTGGTCGACTGGTTGAAATTTTCCTCCTAGTGGAAGTTCAAACGCCAAATCTAATTATTTATACAAATAAGAACTTTTGAAGCATGTCTTAGACAATAATAACAATCAAGAAGCCATGATACCCTGGTCACCGAGTCTAGTAATGTGGATAACATGTACGGTACAGAATATCATATCCTCATATGCGTAACTTATATTTTGTAATGGCTTAACATTTGGAGCATTTGCTAAAAAATAAATAAACTGAATCTGAGATAACAGTTAAGTTAAATCATAACTAGGAACGTTGATTGTTTTGTTTCTTTGTTGTTTAACACTGAACGCACCAATATTTCAGCTTTATGATGGTGGTGGTCTGTAAATAATCGAGTCTGGACCAGACAATCCAGTGACTGGCATCATGAGCATCAATCTGTGTTTCAAATGTAAGAGTAAACAAACCATTATTCTTTACCATGCAAATATATATCACATATGATTGGTACTTTTACCATAGGTTTGGTAAAAGTATGTTAAAATGCTTAACTCCCAGGGTCCGTAAAAGGTCATATACGCCGGACATGTCCAATTGGAATCTCAAATGTCCGGTTAAAAATATTTAAATTTTTCTGTCCGGACATGATCTACAGTTAGGACTGGGCAGTTTCTGTCTGCAATTGTAACACAATAAAGATTATCTACACAGACAAGCATACATCGCTTAACTCCCCCTTACTCAAGAATGGTCAGTCTTAAAAAGAACTGGATGGAATTGGCTGTTCCATGGGAGGAAAATCTCAATCAAAACCTTCATTGCACTTAAAATAAATAAATATATAAATCAATGTGTAAACTGAAAGACAAAATCAGACTAATTACGTCACACACACCACTCCACAATACAACGCAATGTCCACGTCATCACTGGAGGACCAACACTCCAGGCAACACCACCAATGTTTTTTCTTGTACCTAGCCATCAAAATTTAGAAGTTCATAAATATTTGTTTGAAACACTGTTTGATTGAAGAAGTCCTTTTCTAAAACAACAACCCTTTCCTTGCAAATTTGCAATTTATATTTTTTCAAAGGCTTCTCTTTGGAAATTGATCTCTAAACTCTGAAATTCATTTTTGATTTTCAAGGAAATCTGTAAAACTAGAAATTAAATAGGTCTGGCTTAATGAACAATACACAAAATAAACAACAATCAATAAAAATACACTGAATTCTGTCTGTGTGCACATATGTCACTTGACGTACTTGAAGTGCATGAATTAACACACACTCACATAAACAGGATATAATGTAAATCCTTGAAAAAGCACCAGGTCTCTATTCCACAAATGATGTTCATGCTACAACTTTTCTGAAGTCTATGTTCAATTATGGGAGTTACGGTGAGGTGAGGTGAAATGGGGTTTAACGTCGCGTCCAAGATTATTGCACTTATATGCACGTGTGTGTGTGTGTGGTTGCTTGTACTGGCCTGGACTGATGCCGATTTATAGTGCTAGCTCACTGAGATACCATGCTGCAGTTTAACATGAATACCCCACTCAGACACAGTATACTGAATCCGAGCAGACCAGTCCTTGTTTTAGCCCCTTAATGCCGAGCGCCAGGCAGGGTAACAACAAGAACCATCTTTTAATGTCTTTTGGCATGATGCGGCCTGGGATCGAACCCCGGACCTTCCGCTCTCCGGGCTCTACCACTAGACCACGGAGGCGGTCTATAGGAGTTCCGATCATAAGTCTATGTTCAATTATGGGAGTTACGATCATCATGATCATCTTAGCTACGGCTGTTGTAAGTCTAAGGTAAGGTATGGGAGTTATGATCGTCTTAGCGCCAAGATCGCTTTCTGGAACCATCCAGGCGTTTATTTATGCAAATCCTCAGACTCAGTGTTTATTCAAACAAGCGTTCTTCAAGACAGGAGTTCAAATTTATAAAGGGTGCTTGAATCCAGTTTATTTTTTACATTTCGTTTCAATTGTCTCCTCCCAATATTTCCCAAGTTTTAAACGAACAAAGTTTCACTAGGCATTTACTCAAGGCAAGAGATCATTGTGTGTAAACTTTATGTTTCTATGGGTGTGTCAGTTGACCCAGCACTAATTCAAGGCAGCTTTTATGAAATTCACTGGCACTTATTCAAGGATTTACAGTATGCACTGTCACATACTGTCAACATAATGTTCCAGATCTCGCTTCGGCGCTGCTGCCAGCCTAGAGCTACAGAGTCTACTGATAAAGTTGCCTGCTGACTGTTTCATCAGTATTCTCCACTGATGCTTGAAATACATAAACATCTCAAATGACCTAACTACACATACGGATTCAGGATGTGCACAGCACCAGCTCTGGCATGTCCACGGAAGAATAATTTTACTTATTTTTAAATGTTTCACCAAACATGTCACAATGACCACTGGGCTTTAAGTTCAGAGATTCCATCAGAAACTGACTTTGTGCAATACTGATTTTTGTTTAAACAAGAGCTCACTTCCACAAAGCAATCTTAGTGCTACGACTGTCGTAAGTCTATGATAATGTATGTGTGTTACGAACATCTTGCTGCTACGGCTGTAGTAAGTCTATGTTAAAGTATGGGAGATACAAACTTCTTAGCGCTACGACTGTCGTAAGTCTATGATAATGTATGTGTGTTATGAACATCTTGCTGCTACGGCTGTCGTAAGTCTATGTCAAAGTATTGGTGTTACGATCATCTTAGTGCTATGACTGTCGTATATCTGCGTTAAAGTATTGGAGATATACAATATTTTTAGTGCAAAGATTGCTTTGTGGAACTGGGCTAAGAGCAAGTCAATAGTCACAGCATTTCTCATTTAAAAGAATCATTTATTATTGACAGACTTGTCGAATAAGGACTTTAGAAATAGTTGGTAATTCCGTTCTGGAGATGTTCCATTGTAGAAAAAGCACATCTCACATATGCATTTGGTTATCTGTTTGAACATTAAATCTACTGAGTGATTTTCCCAATTACATATCTGTTGGTACAATATACTGGCAAAGCATTCTCATGACACATGTGAAATCAAGCATTGTCAAAGTCAAGAAACTGTCATCATGTTATTGATCTGACTAGGATTTATTAGAACCCTATAACGCAAAACTCTAAGAATTAATCAAACTAAACAAATTCAAACTCTACCTGAGCATATTCTAATTCTCTGTATTAATTCATCAATGTAACTTATATTAGTTTTCAATTATCAACAGATTCATATGATCACAGTTATTTTTGCCACTGAGCATACATAAATTAACATCCATCCATATTTCACTTGTTCTTTAATGCTTGTGTGTTGATTAATCAAGGGATTCGCATATGAATCTGACTAGTATGGACACCTGTCTAAACCAGACTGAAATTGTCATCTCATGCATGTTCAATAGACCAATTCACCTGTAAATCAAAATGGAAAAGAAATTGAGAATTCTGAGAGGCTTCATTCATGTATAAAACAATTTAAACATTTCAGCAACTATTCCTTTATTTAAGGAACACTGAGATCAAATCTTCCATAACTTTACTTTCTCAGCAATGAGGCACCAATTGGCATGATCAAAGTAGGTGTCAATGATATGTAGATCTTCGATGTTGTCTTTAACAATATCCACCAGCTCGCCCTCTTTGAACACATGATAGAAGCGGCACAGGTCTGTGTTGGAGAGAGTCTGACCGGTGCTGCCGGGTGATGGCAGACAGTTGTCTGAAATAGTCTCCTCCAGGACTGGTCTGGATGAGCCTCTGCCTTGGGCTGCAGCAACAGGCTGGTCCAGGTCGTTGTAGTCAATGCTGTGGCTAGATGCTGCGGCAAGAGTAGCTTCAGATTTCTTGTTCTTCCTCATCTTCATCTGAAACAAGTCTCCTTGAGATCGGGACTGTCCCTTCTGGAGCCCATTTTGTTTGAGTTTCAACCTTTCACATCCTTTCTTGATGCTTTTATCAGCAGTTTTCCCAGATTCCTGATGCTGACTGCCTAAACTCTTCACCCTTGGTCTACTGTAGGAGGACCGAGCTGCAGCAGCAGTGTCTAGTTCCAGGGGCAGTGACCTTGCAGATGGGGATCTGGATTTCAGGAAACATTCCTTCTGTTTGTCCTTTCCTGCCAGTTTCATACAATCAGACATGTCAGAGATATTTCTCTTCATCCTCAGCTTGACACCATTTTGACTAGAGTAACCCTGTCCATTTTGTGTGGGCTGTTCAGGCCTGAGACTGCTCATGGGAAATTCCCGAACAGCAAAGAACTCAGGGATATCGGAACTATTCTTAGGACATGTGGATGAACCATCCTGATGGAGGCTCTTTTCGTCCCTCCTGGACATGAAGCCTTGAAAACTGAGTCGAAGTTTCTGGAAAATGTTAAGTCTGACGCTGGCATGCTCTGTCAGGTGATGGCTACAGTTGTGTTTCGATATGTGACTGATATGTTTGGTAGATGAGTCTATGTGACCTAGTGGAAGATGTTTCGGTGTTTCGGAGGCACTCCCAGTTGTAGTGCAGGGCAAATAACAAGGCACTCTGTCCAACTGACAGGTTGACAATGAAGCACTAATGTTCTTTGTAGGACGAAACGTGGCTTCTGCATCCGAGGTCTTTACTTCAGCATGAGACTTCTTCCTGTAATTGAATTTCGATGAAGGCAACATGGGGACAGTGTCCTTGGAGAGGTTAAGTTCACTTGTTGAGATCTGTTTTTCTGACAATTCCTTAAGGCAGGCTTCAAGACGACGACACTCCTGGACAAGAGTGAGCTGATCAAGGGAGCATCCGCTTCGAGATGATCGCAGACGTCCCTCATCCTCAATTTCAAACACGTCGTCCGAAGGCTGGCGGAAATCTTCTAAAGACTTGATCCTGTTTGAGAATCCCGCCAGGTCGTCAGGGGGACTGTCTTGGCAGTGGGTAAAGCTGCTGAGAGAGGAGGTGTCGTCGTCACTAACGGAACTGTTACTGGAGTGGTCAATGTCCGAGCTTGACCCTCGGTATGTGCGGTGGGAGGGGTGGCAGGGTTTGTGCCAAGGGACCAACACGTCCTGACTCTCAAACTGAAACACGATAAGAGTGAAGGAGTGAGTGCCGTATCTTTGAACATATGTCGCAGCATGTTAGATCATGGAACAAACACAAAGCATCTCCTCTTTAAATCTTTATGATGTTGGTGAAACCTATAAGCTTAAACATTGTTCAAACAAACAAAGGATCTTAATCTAAAAAATCTAGGATTTGAAACAAACAGATAATCACGGCGAAGGACTCAACAATGTTGGAAACAAATCATAGTGTTCTACATAACTTGCCTATGTGGTCTTTTAATATCTCAAGCAACTGTAAACTACTCAATAAATCCCTAAAATACATCCACATTCACGTCCACAGCATGTAACATAAATACTTGTAAATGAATTGTTTGCATAAATGTTTCTGAATGAATGAATGAGTATTGTTTTACGCTCCTTTCAGCAATATTCCAGTAATATCATCACGGGGAAACAAGCAGTGGGCTTTACACAAGTGGAGAATCAAACCTGGGGCTTTGGCATGATGAGCAAACACTTTAACAACTCGGCCATGTAGGCTGCACCACTGCCAGGATGAAACATCAAACATTTCTGAGCTATGACGAGTGAGTGAATTATTTTACTCTCCATTTCTGATATTCTTCACACACTATAATCAAAGTTTTGTTTCAGACAGGCATGAGTGAGTGAGTGAGTTGGGTTTAACGCCGCTTTTAACAGTATTCCAGTTATATCACAGCGTGTCAGCTTAATGTGGGAGGAAAGCCCAAAGTGGTGCAGGTCCCAGACGTTTACCACTTCGGTGACATCCACAAGCATGGGTATGGTGCTGACAAACCTAGAAACATAATCGGGCCGAACTGGGATTCGAACCCACAATCATAGGTTTTTGATGTGCCCAAGGGATGCAACTCTGCACAGCGAATCGCGGCGCCTTAGACAACTGGGCCACCCGTGCTCCCCAGACCGGCATGAACCAATACATGATTAGATGTTTGCTTGTTGTTTACAACCTAACTCAACAATGTTCCAGAATATATGACGGCAAAGGGAACAATTGAGTGATGATGATGATGATGATGATGATGATGATGATGATTTCACAATAAACCATCGATCTATTGTGATGTCATTTCTGGACATTCGAAAATGCACTCTCATCTTTATGACGTCTTAAATTGGACGACTTTATTTTTGAGAAGGAAGCATCTAGTGAGTTGTCCCCAATAGATGTGCTGGACAACCCAGATACATGCGATGGCCGAATGATTATATTTTTTTAAGCCTTTCAAACATAAGTCCATATATACAATGAACACTTTTTTATAAGCAGATAGTGTCATAACGGTTAAATTGCACACATCAGACATGTACATATTGTTGATATCTATCTATTAGTTCCAGAGAAGAAGTTGTTTAAAGCAATGTTGCCAAATTACCCCTATTTTGACCCATCCCTCAGCCCCTGGGGGGGTCAGGCCCACCATTTGTACAATTTTGAATCCCCACCACCTAGGGCATGTAGGGATGCTTCCAATCAAATTTTGTTAATTTCCTTTTAGTGGTTCAGAAGAAGAAGTTGTTTGAATAAATTGTTGACGTACAGACAACGGACGGACGATGGACACCACGGTATGGCATAAGCTCACCTTGGTCCTTTGGACCTGGTGAGCTAACAAGTTACACAAATGAGAACACATACCCTTCTATGCTTCTGTTCAAAGGCCCAAACATACACCATCAGCTTGCCTCCAGGGGAGAGAACTCTTGTCAACTCCTTCAAGGCCTGAACGCGTCGGCTGTGAGATGAGAAATGATGAATCACTCCTATTGAGATGACAGCATCAAAAATGCCATCTCGATATGGAAGGTGAAGGTTGTCTGCAGTCATGACCTCATGCCCTTGGTGATTTGCATGCTGCACAAGCGGCTGACAAACGTCAGACCCGATTTTGTATATGGAGTTGTTGATCCTTAAGTAACGGCCATTTCCACATCCTGCAACAAACAATAATAGTAGGGGTTGATTTAATTGCCAGCCCGTCAAATTTCACCTACCTACCGCCATTTGGTAATCTTTATTTGCTCATAAGTCACCACAAAATGAGGAAAATGGCAGCAAAGATTTAATCTCAAGAGTGCAAAAAAAGGCATCTTAGTGGTGAGGAATTGTAGAATTTTCAAAGCCCCTCCAGGTGGCTACGTGACCACAGGTTCGGCCACTTCTCAGCCTCCACCATTTAGTTGTAGACCAGTTACTTTGGAGAAGCCCTGCTGTCTACATTCAAATTTGTTAAATCTACCCCTGAACAGTGGGAAAGATGTACATGTTCAAATACACGTGAAAAATATCATTTAAAATGGAATGTACATTGTTTAGTCATCAAAAATCTCAGTCTCAATCTCAATCTAATCTGAAATTGTGAAATTTTGTAAATACCAGGGAGAGGGCAATCTACGTTGGAAGAACTTGTCACCCAATCCCATTCACTCCTTGTGAATAAATATGTTTAAAAATGGTTACAAGGATGTTCTGAATGTTCAATGTTACCATGGTTATTGAAGCCTGAGAGCAGGGGAAAACATCAGTATTAGTTCAACCCCAACAAGATGGTCCTGTGCCCTATTCCACAAGGTGATCTTAGCGCCAAGATAATCATAACTCCCATGACCTCAGTCATAGTCGCACAATTGCTTTGTGCAGGCCCATAGAAGGGATTTCATTGGAGGGGAGAGGAATCGATTCTCATCAATAACATATTTATCTCATTGCGTGACCTGACAAGTTAATTGTTGATATTTTCATCATGTTCATGACTTTCGAGATAACTTATGTTCTACAAACAAACATATATGAACCGAAAATTTGTTTAATAAAACATAATATCATATTACTTTATTTCATGTAATTAGTCATTGTTACTGTGATAATTCACTGTTGAAGTTTGTTTGTTGTTTAACGCCGCACTCAGCAATATTCCAGCTATATGACGGCGGTCTGGAAATAATCGAGTCTGGACCAGACAATCCAGTGAGTGACATCATGAGCATTGATCCACACAATTGAGATCGATGACATGCATCAACCAAGTCAGCGAGCCTGACCACCTGATCCTGTTAGTCACCTCTTACGACAAGCATAGTCGCCTTTTTACAGCAAGCATGGGTTGCTGAAGACCTATTCTACCCCGGATCTTCAAAGGTCACTGATGCAGTGTTGGAGTTGAGGCAGTCATGGCGCCATGAATGTTGTAGACAATGTTAAGGTGTTGGAATTACGACTGTTGTAGTCTTACAATCAATTGCTGAAACAGGTCTCTTGTTGGCCAACAACTCTTGATACATACGGACATGAATACATACCAACATCAGCTACCAGGGATCCAGGTTCAAGGCTCTTCAGGAAGTGTTTCACCTTCGGCCAAGCTTTCTGTTTGAGGTCAGCGAAATGCGGTGCGATCTGTTCATACACTTCCTGCACATGGATCCTCTCCATGCTGGTGGCCATCTCGTGGGGCAGCTTCGTGTGGACCATGGTGACGGTGGTGACGAGGAGGGGGACTGACGAGGAGGGGCCAGGGGCTCTAGCAGGACTGGTGGCAACTCACCCCATCCTGGCTCTGTCTCAAGTAAAGGACACTGTAACTCCCTGAAAACAGATGTCAGAATGACAAAAACCAATAAGAACCAGTCAACTCTCGTCTCAAGTAAAGGACACTGTCACTCCCTGAAAATAGATGTCAGAAGGATAAAAACCAATAAGAACCAGTCAACTCTCATCTCAAGTAAAGGACACTGTCACTCCCTGAAAACAGATGTCAGAATGATAATAACCAATAGGAACCAATCAACTCTCGTCTCATGTACAAGACACTGTGACTCCCTGAAAACAGATGTCAGAATGATAATAACCAATAGGAACCAGTCAACTCTCGTCTCATGTAGAAGACACTGTGACTCCCTGAAAACAGATGTCAGAATGATAATCACCAATAGGAACCAGTCAACTCTTGTCTCATGTAGAAGACACTGTGACTCCCTGAAAACAGATGTCAGAATGATAATCACCAACAGGAACCAGTCAACTCTTGTCTCATGTAGAAGACACTGTGACTCCCTGAAAACAGATGTCAGAATGATAATAACCAACAGGAACCAGTCAACTCTTGTCTCATGTAGAAGACACTGTGACTCCCTGAAAACAGATGTCAGAATGATAATAACCAATAGGAACCAGTCAACTCTTGTCTCATGTAGAAGACACTGTGACTCCCTGAAAACAGATGTCAGAATGATAATCACCAACAGGAACCAGTCAACTCTTGTCTCATGTAGAAGACACTGTGACTCCCTGAAAACAGATGTCAGAATGATAATCACCAACAGGAACCAGTCAACTCTTGTCTCATGTAGAAGACACTGTGACTCCCTGAAAACAGATGTCAGAATGATAATAACCAACAGGAACCTGTCAACTCTCATCTCAAGTACAAGACACTGTGACTCCCTGAAAACAGATGTCAGAATGATAATAACCAACAGGAACCTGTCAACTCTCATCTCAAGTACAAGACACTGTGACTCCCTGAAAACAGATGTCAGAATGATAATAACCAACAGGAACCTGTCAACTCTCATCTCAAGTACAAGACACTTTGACTCCCTGAAAACAGATGTCAGAATGATAATCACCAACAGGAACCAGTCAACTCTTGTCTCATGTAGAAGACACTGTGACTCCCTGAAAACAGATGTCAGAATGATAATAACCAACAGGAACCTGTCAACTCTCATCTCAAGTACAAGACACTGTGACTCCCTGAAAACAGATGTCAGAATGATAATAACCAACAGGAACCTGTCAACTCTCATCTCAAGTACAAGACACTGTGACTCCCTGAAAACAGATGTCAGAATGATAATCACCAATAGGAACCAGTCAACTCTCGTCTAAAGTAAAGGACACTGTCACTCCTTGAAAACATGGAAACCAGGTGTCCAGGTGATAATGACCCAAACAAACCAGTCAACTGTGGTATATCAAATCAAATGGCCCAACAATAATGATCTTTATCACAGCTGTGGATAACTAATGTGTTCGTTAAAGAGTCGATTATTCACTCTACCTACCGTGTTGGGAATCATTTCATTTGATTGAAATTGATGAATAATCATTACAGTTCGCTCAGTTTGAATCCCTGATGCTGATGTTCCGTTTCGGCTAGGTATACAAAAATAATTTTGCAATTCCACACAGTCGCCTATTCTTAAGATGATAAAAGTCATTGATATGTTTATGAATACATTATTATGTTGTATTTAACAACAAACAATCAATACAAGAAGTAAAACATATTGTAGACAAATCTAAATTGTGTATTCAATATATTCTGAAATCACAACAAGTGAGTGGGGGAGATGGGTTTAACGCAGCTTTGATCAGTATTCCAGTTATATCACAGCATGTCAGTTTAATGTGGGATGAAAGCCTGAAGTGATGCAGGTTTCAGAGTGAGTGAGTGAGTGAGTGAGTATGGTTTTACGCCGCTTTTAGCAATATTCCAGCAATATCACGGCGGGGGACACCAGAAATGGGCTTCACACATTGTACCCATGTCGGGAATCGGACCCGGGTCTTCGGCGTGATGAGCGAACGCTTTAACCACTAGGCTACCCGACTGCCTATGCAGGTTTCAGACGTTTACCACTTTGGTGAAACCCACGAGCATGGGTATGGTGCTGACAAAGCTAGAAATACAATCGGGCCGAACGTGGATTTGAACCCATGACCATACACTTCTGGCATACCTAAGGGACACAACTCCGTAGAGTGAATTGATGCATCTTCGACAACTGGACAACTGGACCACTCATGACTCAACAATGTCTTTGAGCCTGTCCCAACAAGAAGTATACAAAAGAAAATCGAAGTATGACCTATCTTTTTATACTAAAGGCTGAGACGTGTTACTCGGGTTGGGGCGGTACTGAGCAGGACCAAGGCACCCACAGGGCAACCTGGACCCATGGTTAGTCACATGATATATTGTTTAATGACAAAAAGTATCTAGAATTCTTTGGTTACACTACAAGTCACTAATGTCCGCATTTCTTTCTATGTACCCATTCCTTCTGAATCTTATATGTTCAAACAAAAATAAAACTTCAGTCAACTTTAGAGTATGTATGACCGGAGTTTTATAAGTGGGTACCTGGGTAGGGTCGGGTAATAGTGGGATGGGTACTCGGGTAGTAAATTTGGACTCGTCCCAGCCCTTCTATCTTTATAACAATTTGGTTAGCTTTTGGTTAGGTTTTGACCTTTTCCATATGAGTTGCTTATGCGTACATCTTTTGAGCAATTTAAGTAATCATGGAAAGATCAGCCTACATCGAAGTTCAACCTTTCTCATGTCACAATCAGGGCTCTCATTTTGATTGCACTTTTGTTGAAAAATCAAGTGCAATTAAAGTGCTTAGTGGTGAAAGAAAATAAAAGGTCTATATCAGCACTTTTATGCCTGAAAAGGGTTTTTCTTATTTTCATCTGGTTTTGTCTCAAACTCATCATAAACATCCAATAGGCTACAGACACTACAAAATGATATATAACATTGAAGAAATATAAAAAAAACTCTTTAAATCGACAGTTTATTCAATAAAACAATGAGGGAAGGTATGTGTTCTATTTGACTGAAACAATAGTGACAATTGCAAAGTAAACAGCTGTTTTCCTTTCTGAAAAAGCAGACAAAACATGATTGACAATGACATAAATAAACTGAAAGCAGTTTCTCTTTTGAATATACTTGGTAATCAATGTCCAGTAAGTTTTATCAAATCCTTTCAAAACTTCTAGATAGAAGTATAAGACAAACTTGTACATCAGTAAGTGCCTGGATAAATATCTAGGCAACTCACTCACTTGCCCTGTATTTAGGGCTACGGACACTATATTTTGCAAAGTGTCTAATTAGTGAACAGACAAACTGTAATAAGATAAAAACTAATGTTAAATTCAAAACCACAACTTTTTTGTTTGGAAACTACTCAATAAAAAGCAAAATCTAACATCTAAATTTCTGGGGCTATACGGACACTACATTTTGTAAAATGTCACAAATATTCAAAACCAATTGAATAGAGAAAAGGAAAAAGTCAGATTAGTGTTGGTTTACATATTACATGAAGCATTTCCTTTGGTTAAGTTACCATGGTTACTAGCTCAACTGTTCAGTCAAAATACCAGGTTTAAAAATAGGGGCTACGGACACTACAGGGCTGAGGACTTTTGTTTTCCTATGCCACGGTTGTCTGTGCAAGGTAATTCAAACAACTCCACCAGAGACTGGTAGCTTGGGGTAACCTGTAAAATATATTTAGGCACAGTCACTGGGCTACGGACACTATGCAGAAAATAGCGATGTCTGACCCTCACCTGCTTACATAACCAAGATCATACCTGATAATCATGCCATGTTTCACAAAGTTGGTATTCTGAATATTGGAAAAAACAAACAAAACAGCAATAATTAGCACAATTTGTTGACACAAGTAGTACAAAATAGTATGAAAAATTCAAGGAAATATTACAAGCATACCTTTTTTGTAAGGAAGTGTCAACTTGCCAAACTTTCAGATACAAAATTGAGATATACCTTCAATTGAAGAGAGAGTGCTATTCGTTTATGCTCATGTAGTAACATGTAATGCATTTTTTAGCATGTTTAGTGAAGATTTATGCTGAGAAATATATAACGAAGAAAGTTCATGTGTCTTGGGGCCATTGCCATGGCTCAAAAATCTAATGCCAAATGGAAAGCTGAAAGTACTTAATGTCACATCAAGACAGTACAACTGGCAAATGAAAATGTACATATGACCTTCTTTTCATCCTGTAAGTAACCATAGGTCCTTATAACAATTGTCTAAAAAATATGACCCCCCATCTTCTTGAGGCAAGGGAGTTAACTGACTTTAAAAGTCCAGTTTCCATCCTTGCCGAACTAGACTGGAATTTCTGAGGTCAATTGTAGCGCCACCAGTGTCCCTTCATGTCCCTTATGACCAATCAGATTCCTTATCCAGACACACATCATTTGCATTTTGTTCAAACAAAATGGTGGTGCCCAGCCAAGATGATCTGATCGATAATCAAGCTCTATACTGTGACGGGTCTTACTTTGCAAAGTGCATCAAATCGTGTGAGCCTCTTGATTAAAAACATGAAAAGATTTGCAAATTGTTTGTGGACGACCACTGTTAACAGTACACATCCTTTGCAAATCCTGCAGTTGACCGAAATCTGCATGTTGAAATGTTATTTACGCAACAGATGTTGATTTCATTACGCGATTTTGATTGGACTATGCATAGACTCGTTAGTCCAGCCAAAATATAACGCCATAATTCCAGCCTAGTTCAGCAAGGGTGGAAACTAGACTTTTACAGTCAGTTAACTCCATTGTCTCGGGAAGATGTATGACCCCTGATTGTGATCCAGCCGTTGTGACATACATAAGCATAGACCTTCTTACTCATTACAGATCATGTGTACCAAGTCTATATATATCCCAGATACAAGTGATTGTACTATTTTTTTCCATCAACATTGTGTGTTATAGATATAGCATGCTATAGTGTATAATA